TATCATACTTTGTTTAGATTGATGAGGACCAAATGAGTTAATATTTGTGAAGAGGCTGTGATGTGTATAAATTCAGTAAAACAGTTGATGCCTCAATGATTGCATCCAGGTGACCTTGTGGCATATGAGAGAGAACACTTTCAAGTACAAAACCAAAACTCCTTGAGCAGGACACTCCAAGTTTCTAAACTTTCCCATCTATCAATTCATCTAGCCACCTTTTAATGCAAATAATGAGCTCATGAAATTATAGTGGAGAAGAAGCTCTCTGTTTTGTTTAACAGGCTCTAAAAACAGAAATAGTTTGCAAGATCTTCTCTTCTGCCAAAGCATATATAATTTCATTTGATATACTGAGCTCATTTTTACATTATATCTTCACTAATTATTATATCTAAGTACTTTATTTAAATCTTAATTTTTTTTTAAAATACACAAACATTGAATTAAACTATTTTGGGGTATTTTTGAAAAGCAAACAGCTGACAGAACTGAGGAAGTTAATAACAAAATTAAAAACAGATTTAATAACATTTTCATTCTGTTATGTCCATGTTTACCGGACTTAGATATGCTGAATTATTTCACAGCTGGAACATAAATTATGTGTTAGTTTTAAATGGGATTCTGTACTTTGATCTACTGGATATGCATAGTACAGAACTAAAGTTTCCTAAAAGTGTATGTATAAACTGAGTTGTATATGTTAATATCTATTCACTGTTTTGCTTCTGCCTTATTGAATCTTTAAAATTTTTAAGGTTCAAGTTAAGTGCTTTCTTCTTGGTGAAGCCTTCCAAATCTCTTTAATTCATAAATGTTTCTGTCCTTTGAGTGTTTATCATATATTTGTTATATATACTGTAAAACTGTCACTTATACATGAATCTGCTATTTTTTATTTTTTCATAATTTAAAGTATTCTAATATCTTAAAAATGTTATAATAAGTTTGAGAGCAAATGTTACACCTTCTTTCTTCATTTCCTTAAAATATGCAACTTACAATGCTGTACAAATTCTCTAAATATTATTGATTACTTATTAATACATGAACTGTTGGATTTATAAAGAACTATATGAGATAAAATCACTTTTGGAGTACATGTTTATATTATCACCCGTTTATTAAAACACAGATTTTTCAGAATTTTTTCATTTTTTAAAAATTTATTGTTTAGTTTGAAGTGTAGAGAGATAGAGGGATGCAGAAATGACAGGGAGACATCTTTGGATTGTGTCACTTCCCAGGTGCCTGTAATAGCTGGTACTAGGCCAAGCCAAATCCAGGATTCTGGAATTCAATCTAGGTCTTCCCAGTGTGTAACTGGGACCTAAGTACCTGAGATATCACCTGCTGCCTCCTAGGGTGCACATTAGCAGGAAGCTAAAATTGGAAACTGAGCTGGACTCAAACACTGACAGTCTGACAGATGATATAGAAAACCCAAGTAGCATCTTAGCTGCTGCACCAGTCCCTAGAGTATTATATATAAGTCTCTCTGCTATAAAAGAGTAATTATAATGTTTGAGACCCCAAATTAGATTTTTAAAAATCATTACCATCTTTAGGCAAAGAAACAAAGACACAGCTCTGTGCCAACAGAAATTGCCTGTTGACTCAACATGTATATTCATTGCCCTTAAGTTCATGAAGTTATGATCTTTGAGGGATAAGGAGATATACCACTTAGATCATATGCTTCCTGTTTTGTACTAGAGATACTCAAGGCCCCAGAATTTCTTGTTCATATAGCCTCAAGTAAACTTTTAGGAACTTTATGGCTTCTTGCTGGGTTCCATCCTCTAATATCTGTACTTTGACATTGGTGTGCTCAATCTAAGTTGAATAGAGAACTGAAGTTAGCAAATTTTTGTAACGAGATGGGGAAATAGCTTGTACTTGGGGGCCGGGATGCTCATGTATGTGCATATGTAAAGCCTATCTAGGTATTGGATGGAGCTAAAATTAGGGAAAGAAATTGAAGTGGGATTGACTAAGGTCAGGGGCTGGCTGTCTACGGATTACTACATGCTCCATTGGAATTCTAAGGATGCTACGTATTTTAAATATTAATGAGAACTCCCAGGTTGCTGTAAAGGTATTTTTACAAAGCAGAAAAATCATTGAAAATTTGATATTATTTAAATAATGATTTATCATTTAAAAATATTTAGACATGGTATGTGAGTTCACATTCTTCCCTTGGAGTCTCCAATTTTTTGAGGCCCCATTATTAGAAAATTCTAACTAGAAGGCTATGTAACTGTATAAATGTAAACATGTAAATGCAATATTTTCAAAAGAAAATTATGCCTAAATGCATGATTTATTTATCTACTATTGTAACTTGTTATATAAATTTCATAGTCTTTTAGATCTATACTAATCTTGTATTCATGTTCTTTAGGAATCAGATTTAAATTTAAAAAATCTAGCATAAATTGCATTCTGTATTCTTAAGATGAAATGCAGCAGTTGATATATTTTGACTGTTTTGGTACCAAAGTGTAATTCTAATTTCTTTTTTTTTTTTTTTTCTTAAATAAAGAAGATGAGCCTGCAAGTCGGGGAGTAGGTTAAGCCACTGCTTACAATGCTAGTGTCCTATATTGGAGTGCTGGTTGGATTACCAGCTACTCTGCTTCCAATCCGGGTCCCTGCGAATGTGCCTTGGAAGGCAAGGGAACATGACCCAGGTACTTGAACCGCTGCCAGTGGGAAACTGGGATGAAATTCCTGGTTCCTGGCTTTGGCCTGGCCCAGACTCCACTATTGCTGCCATTTGGAGAGTGAATGGGCAGATGGAAGATATTTCTCTCTCTCTCTTTTTTTTTTCTCTCTCTCTGCCTTTCAAATAAACAAAAGAATAAATACTTAAAAAATAAAAGAAAAAAATTCCATGGTTCCTTAAACATAATTTTAACAAAATAACGCACCCTTGTATACATATGTTTTGTCTTTGATAAGGAGCACATTTCTCATTATCTGCATTTCTGTACTTTCTTATTCCTTGGTTTGCATCAGTCTTGATTCAGTGACTACATACATACTTTTCTCTCAATCTAAGCATCCTCCAACCAAACATATTTTTAAATAAAGGCATGTAATTGCTTCATTATTTTTATTCAAATGAGTAAGTTTTTCAAATTTTCGTTATTTTAATCTCTCATTTTAGAAAAGTTGATTGTGTGATGAGCCTGGCTAATAACATTTTTAATATGCAAAGATTTAATCTGAAGGTATTGAAATGTAATTATTCAAATAGAATTTAGAAGTAATATTTTTTTTTATTTTTTTCTTGACAGGCAGAGTTAGACAGTGAGAGAGAGAGAGAGAAAGGTCTTCCTTCCGTTGGTTCACCCCCCAAATGGCCGCCAAGGCTGGCACTACGCCAATCCGAAGCCAGGAGCCAGGTGCTTCCTCCTGGTCTCCCATGCGGTGCAGGGCCCAAGCACTTGGGCCATCATCCACTGCCTTCCCGGGCCACAGCAGAGAGCTGGCCTGGAAGAGGAGCAACCGGGACAGAATCCGGCCCCCCAACAGGGACTAGAATCCAGTGTGCCGGCGTCACAGGCGGAGGATTAGCCTAGTGAGCCACGGTGCCACCCAGTAGTAATACATTTATATACTCGTTTATCATAGAGTAAAGGGGGTAGAATAGGAAATAATAATTCTGGGTCTTCTCTGAGAAATTGCATGAATTTTGATTAGAAATTTATCCTAAATGAGAATTATGGTTATCTTGTAAATAAACTGCTTGAAATTTTACACATCTATTTTCACAGTTCTGATATTTTATTATATCATATTTCTTATCTTGGTTCATGGTTACATTCAAAATAATATTTTTAACAAGCCATGATACCATTGATTTGCCTTTAAATTTATGTCTAATACTATAAGATCCATGATATGCTAGATTGATAGGCATTTGGATGCATAATTTCATATAGTTTTTCATGAGATTATTGGCTCACCCATAATAAATAATGGAAGTATTTCATAAAATTATATCATAGTTCAACAGAACTATGTTGGTTGTTGTTGGGATTTTGTTGTTTTTTTTTTTTTTTGGGGGGGGGGGTGGTTCTGTTAGTTAACTGCTAAATTCCCAGTGTCTAGAAGTTGATGTTTCTTGAATAAGTCTAGAGCCTTATCTATCTAATGCCTTTTATGTGAAAATAGTCATGTCAGTTCTTTATAGTGTACTGGTAAACACACCTCAATGTGGCAAATTGGATGTGAGAACAGATGTGAACCCCAAAGTGGATTTGTTGGGGGTCTAGTTGTTTTGATGGATGATATTTTACATTCTTAGAGTATGCCAGGACTATTTTAAATTCTTTATAAATATTTAATTTGTACCTTACAACTACGTTATCAAACAGGTACTATTATTAGTTCAGTTTTACAGTTGAAATAGGAGCTTAAATAAATTTACCCTTGGTCAGTCAATTAATGTTTAGGAAGGCAAGATTCATACCAAGACAGCTGGCTCCAGTATTCATGATCTTTTTTTTGTTTTTTAATTTTACAGGTAGAGTTATAGACAGTGAGAGAAAGAGACAGAGAGAAAGGTCTTCCTTCTGTTGGTTCACTCCCCAAATGACCGCCACGGCCGGCATTGCGCCGATGCGAAGCCAGGAGCCAGGTGCTTCCTCCTGGTCTCCCATGTGGGTGTAGGAGCCCAAACACTTGGGCCATCCTCCACTCTCCTGCTGGGCCACAGCAGAGAGCTGGACTGGAAGAGGAGCAACTGGGACTAGAACCCCACACCCATATGGGATGCCGGCACCGCAGGCAGAGAATTAACCAAGTGAGCCACACTGTATTCACGGTCTTAACCAGAGGCTCATGGTTAAAATTCTACTGCATTGAAATAGATTCATTGGTATTCCTTTTACTTATTTTCCTTTCACTAAAACTGATTTGGGAAGTAATTATTTCTGTTTAGCCACTGTGGTTTTATAACCATATTTTTTTTTCTCTTTTTTCAGTGGGATGCCATCACTGAAATGGATGAACACAATAGACCCATTCACACATACCAAGTATGTAATGTCATGGAACCAAATCAAAACAACTGGCTTCGCACAAACTGGATCTCCCGTGATGCAGCCCAGAAAATTTACGTGGAAATGAAGTTCACACTGAGGGATTGTAACAGCATCCCATGGGTCTTAGGGACTTGCAAAGAAACATTTAATCTGTATTATATGGAATCAGATGAGTCCCATGGAATTAAATTCAAGCCAAGCCAGTATACAAAGATTGACACAATTGCTGCTGATGAGAGTTTTACCCAGATGGATTTGGGTGATCGCATCCTGAAACTCAACACTGAAATTCGTGAGGTGGGGCCTATAGAAAGGAAAGGATTTTATCTGGCTTTTCAAGACATTGGTGCATGTATTGCCCTGGTCTCAGTCCGCGTTTTTTATAAAAAATGCCCCTTCACTGTTAGAAACTTGGCCATGTTTCCTGACACCATTCCAAGGGTTGATTCTTCGTCATTGGTTGAAGTACGAGGCTCTTGTGTGAAGAGTGCTGAAGAGCGTGACACTCCTAAACTCTATTGTGGAGCTGATGGAGATTGGCTAGTTCCTCTCGGAAGGTGTATCTGCAGTACAGGATATGAAGAAATTGAGGGCTCTTGCCATGGTAAGAAAGAAAGGAATAGTTTATCTTGCATTTAAATTATGATTTTTAAAAGTAAATGTGTTGTCCATTTATTTTCAAATAATAAATTATTGAAAGCTATTCCTGACAGTTGTGAAAGAAATTGACTCATAGTAACAAGAAAATTTGAACATTTATGATATTTTTCCTCCTGAGAAATGTTTATGAAAATGTGCTATATTGCTTTCAGTAAAGTAATTAAGTAGCAGGGACTATTGTATTTAAGAGACTACAGATTATGGCAATATATTACTATATATTACATCGGACAATCATGTAGTGTTAGCATATATTAAATTGGAAGACATCCATAAATAGGTAATAATAATAAAGTTATAAAATTATTAAAGACTAATATAAGGATTTATATTAGCTATTATTAAATATTTGCTTTTTAAAGGACATGTGAGAATAAAATAGCTTTGGCCAGATGATTTTTACTTCATGATTTTGAAAATATGTTGGATGACATTAGTTCACCTTACAGCTTTTGCTCACGCAGTTTTATGGACTGCTAAGCATATTATCTTATATCTGATTGCAGAAAGTTAGACGGTGGGCTCATTATAAATGTTGAACATCTTCATCTAGTGGATGGCAGAAACTAGAAGAATAGAGCCTGAATTTTGTATCTGTGGCTTACAAACTTTGAAACCAGTTTTTTTTTTTTTTGGCCGGTAAATTAGTAGTTATAATCAACTGAAGATAAAGTGCATACTTAAAGTAAAACCATTAAAAATAAGCATATTTGATTAGATACAATAAGTTGCTATTTACAAACAAGAAGTCAGAGTGGGTGTGAAGATCTCGTTTTTACAGCTAAGTATCTTATATTACCAGCAGTCTCTATTTTGAAGTATTTATTTATATGTATTCTCGATGCTTGATATTGCCCTTTCCTTTCCTGTGATAATTGGTCATCATTGCTTGTGTTGCCATCTGTCAACAACATATCTCACAACCCAGTCTGCATTGCATACTCATAAAGCCTAAATGCAAAATTAATTCAAATTTACATGAATTAACCATAGCTCAAGTAGTAATATGCCTACATTGATAATGGGAAAAGAAACAAGTGGTATCAGTATATCAGTATTTTTTCTGTCCTGCTAAAAAAGATAATTTAACCTATTAGCATTATTGAGCACCAGTTATCTCTTAATCATTTATGGTAGATGATAGAGATAAATGTCAATAAGGCATATGTTTGTTACATATTGCTATGAGATAAAACAACTGAAAACTTACTGGCTTAAAACCACAATGATTTATTACTTATCACAGCTCACCTAAGTTTTTCTTCTGCTTATTGTAGAATAAACAGAGGTCAGTTATGTAGCTGAATTCCATGGAGAGCTTAACTGGTGCTGCAGTTTCATGAAGGGCTCTTGTCTTCTAGTGCTTCTCTGTGGCTTCTTGTCATTTATGAATGAGAGCAAGTTTTTCTATAATGTAGTGGCTGGCTTAAAAGGGCATTTTTCATATAGCCAGATGTAAAATGAGTATAGGAGGGAGCTACATTCAGAGGGTGAGCCTTAAGAAGTACATTTAGATAGAATCACCACTGGGACAGTGTACCACAGTCTACTCTCTGGATTCCACTGATTAATATCCCACCATTATGCACAGACTCCCATTCTCCCAAAAACTTATCCCAAATAGTATCATGTGTAAGTCCAGAATAGTATCATTGAAGTCAGTTGAGGATGAGAATGAAGCTTCATATATACAACCCTTCTTGAACTAGAGAGCTAAGAATGTAATAAACTATTTTTATACACACAAACATGCACATGCACACAAACACATACACACACACAAAAGCACAAGAATATTCCATACCAAAGGCAGGGAGCTGAGAAGTCAGTGGTGTGCTGTGATTGTGAAATTCAGCTGGGTGTTAGGATCCATTACTACAAGGGGCAGAAAAGATTCTCTGATTAGAGCCTAGTTATGCTGCCTGGAATTGGTTCTCTGGCTCTTGGCTCCATCAAGGGTTTCATGGCTCCACTTTCTGAGTCATCTGCCTTGTTTATAGAACAGCACATGTGCCCATTGCTAGTTTCTCAGCAGCTGTCTGAGATCAGCATTAAGGAGGGCTTTTTCTCTCTTCCAGGAGATCACAGACAATATTCTCACCAGTTGTTCTTGCAGTAAATAATGGAGGTTGGCCTTTCCTTATCCTCAGTAGCATTTCTTTACTGATCTTTACTCTGTACACATGGACTTCCTGCTACCCATACATCCCCCAAAGCAGATGCCACAGATTTTAGCTTCCTGTGTTTCCTAAAAAAATGATTTGCTTATAGTTTCTACAATCTGGAAATCTGGGCTGGATTCACTGGGTAGTTCCTTCCTGGTTTTATTTTATGCAGTTGCAGTTATTTGGAGGTTTAGCAGATCTGGATATCCAAGAAGATTTCACTTATGTATGATGTATCATTTGGGATATTTGAGGTCTTTAGTTGCTCCCTATCTAAATGCCTGCAACAATATTATTTTGCTTCATCTCAAGAAGTCTTCTCTCTTTCCCTTCTTTATTCCTCCCCGCATCCTTCCTCCTTTCCTCCCTGCCTCCATCCCCCCTCTTTCTCTGTCTTTCTTATCCTCCCCTTCTTTCTTTCTCTTTTATAATTCATCATAGCATATAATTAGGCTTGTCCCAGTCTTTGTTAATGGTGACAGATGCTGTCTGCTGTTCTGTTCTTAACAACTTTGAAGAATCCTTCTGTTTTTCATATCTCTTGTTTTTGTTCACTTATCCAGCAGCTTGGTGCCCCTTTTGTCTTCCTTTTTCCATGATAGGATGTTATTCATCCCCTAAGGTCTAGCACAAACATTATTTATCTTATTTTTCACAAAAGTTATGGCTCTCTCTTTATCCTCAATAACTAGTACAGTTTGTACTAATTATTTATGTGTCTGGGCCTGTCAAAAGATGATTAACGTAAAGACCACATGTATAATAAAGGGTAAGAAATGTACCCTTTTTTATATCAGATGTGACTGATCACAGGGCACTGGGAACTGTGATCTGTTGAGTAAAGGTAGAGCCTAATGCAATGCTATTGCTTTTCTTATCTTTAAAATAGGGAAATGTTTAGTGAGTGTTGCAGAATGTTAACATGGAGAAGACCTTAGAAAAATTCATATCTAGCACTTTATGAGTCAGAACAATATGTTGTTCTGAATTTGTTCAGAATTTGATTTCCTAATACCACATAGTACCAACTAATATTAGATAAATAAATAAATCTTACACAAAAAGAAAGAAACTGAGCTTTATTTATTTATTTGAAAGCCAGAACAACAGAGAGAGAGGGAGAAGCAGACACAGAGAGACAGAAATATCTTCTATCAATTGGTTCACTCCCCAGCCAGGTCTGGACTAGGCTGACACCAGCAGCCAAGAATTCGATCCTGGTATACCACATGGCAGACAGGGACCCAAGTACATGAGCTGTCCTCTGTTGCCTTTCCAGATGCATTATCAGAAACTGGATCAAAAGCAGAATAGCAGATACTTGCACCTACACTGTGATATTGGGGTACTGGTCTCACAAGGGCAGCTTAATCCGCTGCACCACAACTCTTGTACCTGATTATTTCTTAGCCTGGCTTCTGTGTGTTTTGCTCCCTCCAGTCTACTCTTCCTTTTGTCTCTCCATCCCTCCCTTTCTTTTTTTCCTCTCCTAATTTCTTCTTTTCATGCTCACCCTTTGGTGCTTTAATTTGTTGCTTGCCAAAACCAAAGCAGCAGGGCCCTAAATTCCTCAATAGTATTTAGGTCCTTTTTGCCCTACATTTATTTTCTGGGGTCTGATATGGGCACTGTTAGAACAAGGTTTACACAACTATTCTGAAATTCAGGCTCTGGAGGATGATGGAAAAACAGATAAATTTATCTGGAACTTAAACTATAAGTACCAAAAGAATAAATTCTCATGTATCCATACTATCCATATCCGATGGATGATATGATATTGTACCCTATAAGTTGACTACTGAATGCCTGATGTTGTGATTCCTTTCTCCATAATATTGTAAAGGTTTATCTAGATCCACATTCTAGAAACATGAAGAAGTGAAGCCCTTTTTTACTGTATCAATCAAAAAACTTGAGTATAGTAAGCAATACATGCTAAAATTTAAAAACAAATGTCAATGCAAATGTATTACTCTGTTATACATAGTAATATTTTAGTCTTTGCTCAAATCTCAATTTTCATAACTTAAGTTTATAATTCAAACTGTTATACTGAACACATTGATGCTACGAATTTAATTTTAATTGTTTTATTCTAAATTTTTTCTAATGGCTTAAACTAAAATATAACATTGACTTGAAAAGTACTAATTTACATCAAATAATCTTTCACGTTATGTATCTGAGACTGTTTTAACACTGTTGATGAAATAATTGGAAACAATTAACATGCAAAATTGAATGCAAATTTTGTTCAGTTGTATGAATTCTGAAGTGACATGAATCCCTAATAAGCTCCTCCTGAACACTAACTTAGAATCAATCTCATTAAGGTAGTTACACTTGCTCTTGGAGATACTAGGTTAGCTTTAGACTTTTAGAACTGCTAGGAATAGGCACATTACTATAAGGAAGCTTTCTTTAAGCCCATAAGTATCATGTGATATAACTTACCAAAAGGACATTTAGCTATAGAAATTAAATTTTTGAGATATTGAGAATTTTTAAAATGAAACTCTTTCCAGAAATATGTTTTTATTTATTTGTTTTTCTTCCAATGTTGCTTTATAATTCAGGAGGAAAGGATGGTGGCGATTCTCAGACCATTGCGTTATTGTTCACAGAGGTGAATGGGATATACAAGGCTTTCAGTGACATAGCTATTGATTTGATCTCCTGAATAGTGGCATTATTAAGGCTTCATGGCACAGTTCTCTGCTGTAGTTCAGAAGCATTTATGCTTTGTGTTTATGATCTTCTGTCTAATCATGTTATC